GGTCTCGGTTCTCAATATAGACCAGTCAGGTATATAGACTGACAGCTGTGGGGGTTCGAACCCACGCCCTTTCGGACTGACGCCTAAAGCCAGCGCCTTGGACCACTCGGCCAAACTGTCGATAAGTGCTTCAGGATTCATAGCCAAGGTGATGCATCGCTCTGCCAAACCAGAGGACACAAAAAATGGATTGAACGGATTCTGCGAGGTGCGATGGCACAATATCGATCAAAAGGTTTTGGTCTTGCACTACCTCGCTTCTGAAAAGGTCTGGGTTCTCAATATAACACCAGTCAGGTATATAGACTGACAGCTGTGGGGTTCGAACCCACGCCCTTTCGGACTGACGCCTTAAGCCAGCGCCTTAGACCACTCGGCCAAACTGTCGGTAAGTGATTCAAAAATCATAGCGGAGAAGATGCGTTACACTATAGGACATGACACAAAAACGGTTCCGAACCGTTTCCGCGGAATGCGTTCTTCATCAAGTCACACGAAAAGAAATTTCTAACAGCTGTAGGATTCGAACCCACGCCTTTGCGGACTGACGCCTGAAGCCAGCGCCTTAGACCACTCGGACAAACTGTCGATGAGTACTTTAAGATTCATAGCCGAGGTGATGCATCGCTCTGCCAAACCAAAGGGCACAGAAATGGGTTGAACGGTATCTGCGAGTTGCGATGGCGCAATATCGATCAGAAGGTTTTGGTCTTGCACTACCTCGCTTCTGAAAAGGTCTCGGATTTTAATACAACACCAGTCAGGTATATAGACTGACAGCTGTGGGGTTCGAACCCACGCCCTTTCGGACTGGCGCCTTAAGCCAGCGCCTTAGACCACTCGGCCAAACTGTCGATGAGTGCTTCAAGATTCATAGCCGAGGTGATGCATCGCTCTGCCAAACCAGAGGACACAAAAAATGGATTGAACGGATTCTGCGAGGTGCGATGTCACAATATCGATCAAAAGGTTTTGGTCTTGCACTACCTCGCTTCTGAAAGGGTCTCGGTTCTCAATATAAGACCAGTCAGGTATATAGACTGACA